AAAGCAGAAATGATCACACCTATCAGTCATCAGACTATCTGCTCAGAGTAAACTTCAGTGCAGCACCTACGCAGAGACCTGATAACCTCACAGCGGTCAGAGTCTGGTCTGCTGCATCTCTCATTTCAGTCAGAAGGAGTTATTTCCTGTTATCCTCTTCATAGGAAATACAAACTATAACCTCATTGAACCTGCTAGCAAAGTGCACAAATTGCAAAAGTTTTATGTAAAAAAACAATATACAGGACTTAATTTATAATAATAACATTTATTAGTGCAGTTGCAAAGGCATTGCAACTTAAAATGTATGCTAGAGTAATAGGTGGTTCACTCCATTGTGGCAACCCCTGATAAATCAGGGACAAAGATGAAGGATAGTGAGAGAATGAAGACTTTATAGTAATCCATAATAATAGTATTAAAAATGTATATTGGGTCAGAGGGTGTCTGGTTTATGGACCACAGGGTTTCATCTCTGCTAATTTTTAGAATATGTTGTCCTGTGGGCTCCATCAGATCTGGACCTTTAGCTAGCACTGGGATGGTTTGCTAATGAGAATCAGCATCTTCAATCTGAGGCCATGGTGCCCGACCAGAAAAAGGTGGCTGGCTCCAGGTTGGAGGAGAGTCACTGCCCCAGGTGAAGGAGTTCAAGTATCTTGGGGTTTTGTTCAGAAGTGAGGGAATGATGGAACATGTCATTGACAGGCAGATTAGTGCACCAGCATCAGTAATGCAGTCAATATATAACAGTCTGTAGTGGTGATGAAGAAACAGAGCTGTAGTTTACTGGTCAAACTACATTCCTCCTCTCACCCCTTGATGCAAGCATTTGAGCTGACCTTTTTGGGACCTTTCTGCAGGGTGGCAGAGCACACCCCTAATGATAGTGTTAGGAGCTCTGTCACCCAGTAGGAACTCGAAGTAGAGCCGCTGCTCCTCCACATTGAGAAAAGTTATTGATATGAGGTGGCTCGGGCATCTGTTTCAGATGCCTCCTATACCTTGTTCCACTAGGAGGAGGCTCAGGGGAAGATCCAGGGCATGCTTCAGAGACTATGGCAGTACTCACACTATGTACAGTTGCCTCAAACCGGGCCAAAGCACGCTTGTCCTCCCTCCCGTCTCCCCCGACGGCCCGCACTCACATTACAATCGGGTCTGGGTGCGCTTACGTCATCGATGCTGCGCTGTTCAGTGAGCGCTCTCGCTCAGCACAGTGGAGGTTTCTCTAGTTATATCGTTTCAGTCGGTTTGATATGCAGTGACATGCAGTCAAATATTTCACCAAACAGTCCTTAGGGATGGGGTGACACGCAGACAGATATTACGCTGAACAGATCCACCACTTTTGACGCTCATAAACAATCATAAAGCCTTCGTGCTGTAGAAATGAGGAGGTTTGCTAAAAGTGCGCAGCTGTCGTGCAGTGAGGAGTTTGCATCTTTAATAAACTTCGGCAGTTTGCGTTCATTGAACAGTAAGAATGATTAATAAATCCATATGAAACAGTCCCTTTAAAGTCACGTCTCGCTTTCAGTTTCGGGCTTTGGCACGTTTTGCACTCACACAGAAGCGTACCGCACCAAAGCCCAAGTGAACCGCGCTTAGGCCCACCTCTTCCAACCGGGCCAGGGCCGGCCAAGTGAACCGTGCTTGAGCCCGATTCAGCGCACTCACACTTCTCAAAGGATCCGGGAAACGGGCCTGGGCACGGTTCGGATAGCATAGTGTGAGTGTGCCCTATGTCTCTCTGCTTGTCTGGGAAAGCCTTGGGATCCTCCTGGATGAGCTGGAGGAAGTGTCCAGGGAAAGGGAAGTCTGGGGTTCTCTGCTAAGACTGCTGCCCCAGCAACTCGGCCCCAGATAACCAGTTAAAGCTGGATTGATGGAAAATAATGTCTGTTCCTTTCACCAAACAATAACAAATAACAATGTTTTTACTTAAAGGTGCCTTTCTTAATACCAACACAATTCATAACTTTTTGATTTAGTGGCTAACTAGTATGAATTCGTACGATCTAATTAGTACAATTTAGTACGATTTGCTGATCACCTAATGACGGTTGGGTTTAGGGGCGGGGTTGGGTGCCACACCGTCTTTTTAAAATCGACTGAACTCGTACGAATTAGCCACTAAACTGACAAAATTTAAAATACTTACATTTTCTTGTGAGATCAGGCTGTTGAGACTCAAGGTCACCGTACAACAAAATAGTAAATAGATAAACAAAGACAAAATGCAGTTAAGCTCAGGGAAAGTAGGCTGAAAGAGAGCTAAAAATAATGAAGGTCAGAAGGGAGTAAGTTCCAAAGCTGAGGAACTGAAAACCAATGATCCCCTTAGTAACAAGGAAGAAAGAAATAATAGTGAAGAAGAGGATCTAAGAGTGTAAGCAGGTGCAGTTAGAGGGGTATAAAGGGACAAGATTTCGAACAGCTTTAAAGGTGTGAAGTAGTTTGCAGGCATATAATTCTGCAAGTGATTGGGAGCCAATGATGCTGTTGTAGAACGAGCGTAGCATGAAGAATAGAGGGCTGCTTGTCATAATACCAGCATCTGCATTTTGTACCAGCTGTAATTTATGGAGAGTTTTATTCAGAAGGTCAAACAGAAGGGAATTGCAGTAGTCTAATAGAGAAGTGAATAAGCTGAGAATGAGAATGGCAGTGGAGTGAGGTGTCAGGGTAGGGCATAAATGATTGATGTTCAAAGGTGGAAGTAAACAGATCTGGTAACATTATAAACAAAGAAATTTGCAGAAATTATGTTGAACACACAGGCTCCTAACCTTAGGTTATGGGGAGATGACGGAGTTGTGAGTGTGAAAAGAAAATGTATAGCATTTGTTTACTGTTGATTCTGTGCCTATGATAAGTCAAGGTCCTGTTTTTACTTTTAAAGTGAACCAGGATTTAATGTCAGAAAGGCTAATGGTTGACAGGTAGAGGTGGGTTGTCATCTGCATAGCAGTGAAATTAGATCTGATGGTTGTAGAGGATATCGCCCAAGAGTAAAAGGTAAAGATAAACAACAGGGGAGCCAAGACAGAGCCCTGTGGCACACCTGGGCTATTGACAGGACTGACAGTGAGGCAAAAGATTTTAACTGCATGAAATGAGTGTGGCCTGGTATGAATAAAATCAGTTGAGGGGTGTTACCGATACCAATAGAAGAGAGTCTGTCCAAAAGAATGTCACAGGATATTTTGTCAATGGCTGAACGAACATTGACCTTGTTCTGTTTTGTGTTCAATACTGATCCCGAATGACCAATCTTTTCAAGATTTTGGGCTCTATTTTGACGGTCCATGCGCAAAACGGAAACCGCAGGGCGCAAACGCATTCAGGGCGTGTCAGAATTCATATTTGCTAATTTAAGAAAATCCAAAATCCACTTTGCGCCGTGGCGCATGGTCTAAAAGGGTTGAGTTTATTTTCTTGATGAGTTATAGGTGTGTTTTGAGAATAAACCAATCAGAGTCTCATCTCCCATTACCTTGAGCCTTGCGTTGCGCCATAAGCGCATTTGCTATTTACATGATGTAAAGTAAGTGGAAGTGGAAAAACTGAGCATTTCACAAGCAAACAGTTAACAGTTTTTTAACAGAAAACAGTTAAACAGAGCATCTACCGCTCAAGAATAAGAGATAATCGATCTACTTTAACTTTCGCTCTCGTGATATAGGGAAACCTTTACGCACAGACATCAGTTAGCCTATAAACAAATAATTTTGTTTGTTTATCGCAAATATTTGTTTTAAAACTATTTCTAAATTCAGTTCTAATTTCCCGCAAACGAATAAATAAACAAAAATAACGAAGTGTGTTTAAAAACCTGAGTTATATCCTAAAACACATGCTGTGCCCCATATTGTCTAAAACCTGACAGGTGGGCAAATCTAAGCCTGTTTTTAATAAAACAAATATAAATATGGATATAATAAATAATACTGCTAATAATAATAACATTATACAAAAGCAAATTGTTATGAATGAACTGAAAAAGCCTCCAGAGATGAAGACATAAAAGCAGTGATTTTTCATATTTATGTAGGCTAGAAAATAATGTTTTGTAATATTTTAATCCTTTATATTTATATCCCATATATATTCTTATTATATCCTATATATATATCCTTAATATTTAAGTTTTTTCATATGTGAAGATATTTACGTATTGCTCTACATCTTGTGTGTAGGCAACTCTGCGCTGGAGATTAGACCGGGTTTGTTTTGGTCTAATGAAAAATCTATTATAGTTTCTCAAAATAGCAACGCACCAGCAGTGCGCCCCAGAACGCCTTCCTTTTTAGAACAGAACGCCTATGGGCAACGCCTATGGGCATTGCATATGCATTTGCTATTTAAACAATATGGTGCAAAACAGCAAAACGACACTTGCGTCAAGCTGAAACTAGCAAATAACATTTGCGCATTAGCCGCATTGCGCCGGGTGTATGATAGGGCCCTTTAACTTTAACACATAGGTCTGGAAGGTTTCTAGTATTCCTGCCTTGTGTTAGGTTCCAAATTTTAATGCCCTTACCTCACTTACTCGTTGACTGACTACTAGGAGATGGTGGAACCAAACCACCATCAGCTGGTTCAGATATGTTTGTTAGATGCAGCTGAAATCTGCAGGATAGTGACTATCCATGAATAAAACAGGACACAAGGAATTGTGAAGGGCTGTTAGGAACTTACATTTTGTGGCATTAAAGCAGCAACAAACGTATTCTAACAAACATCTATCTTTTTCCTCACTGTAAATTTGGCTTATCCCATTCTTATTGTCTTAACCTTCTTGACTAACAAAAAAAATTGTTAATAGTCTTTAGCTGTTAAAGATTATTGTTATTATTTTGGTTGAATTAATAATACATTAAAATGCAGACATTAAAGTGTAGCAGAATGAGATGTCATGTTTGATTACTTGCTCTGATTTCAACAATGAGTTCATGAAACAAGTTTTCAATGTGCTCTTGTGTCTCTTGCAGAATTATGATAATGGAGACTCTCAGCTGGATTCTGCAGAGCTGCTCAAGTTCATCCAGCACAACGAGACAGCCGTTCAGATGAGCTCCTATGCCGAAGAGGAAAACAACCGCCTTCTCAGGTTAAAACACAAACACCCACTCACTCGCTCACTTACTCACACAACTACTCTGCAATTTATTTTAAATAGATGCTCTTATCTGAAATGTCCTCAGAGGAGCCTGAAAAAATGAAAATGTATCCCATTTACACAACATAGGCTCATTCTGAAAAGTTAGCCCTATATACATTTCTGGAGATCATGAATTATGTAGACAGAAGTTTATATGGCTGCATTTCGTGTTTACAACGAATGCTAGCGGTTGTTTTTTGTGCAACCCGGGCTCATTGTGGAAACGTAGCCCCGCGGACGTTTCTGCGGACCGCGATTTACGTCCCGGGAGGTACGTATTCGAGCGGTTTTTGTTTTCGCGGATCCGCGAGAGGCCGCTGTGCGCGCTTTTTCACGTCTCGGGCGCCTCTCGGGAGCGCGCAACGTTCGCGCCCGCGCCGTTCTCATGCGAAAAGCCGCCGGATCGGCCAACTCGGCTGCCCTCCTCTTCCTCGTCCTCCTTCCCTAAACCCGAGCGACAGTTCGCAAAAGCCGTCCAGAAAAAAAAAAAAGCAAAAGCCCTCGTCTTCGATTTCGACCGCGTTTTCGGATCCCGCCGCGTTCTCGCCCTTATTTTTCGGATTCCGTTTTTCGTCTTACCTGATTTCTGGAACCGCTGTTCCCAGGACTCGATCCCGGTCGTCGTCCCCGAGGCCGGCTCCTCCTCCTCCTCCGGGGCCTCCGCTCCGCCGACGCAACGCTGTGAACTAAGCGGACAAACTGGTTGCATCGGGAAAGCCCTCCACTCGGAGGCGAGCCTTCAGCCGGCGAGCGCTAAGAGGAGGGGCGGAGCCGCACCACACCGCCCCGCAGCGTTCACTCGAAAAAAACTAAACGCGGCCTTACGTACCTCCGGCCACGTAAATCGCGGTCTCCAGAAACGTCCGCAGGGCTACGTTTCCAGAATGAGCTTGGGTTGTTTTTGTGCTTAGCAGCTGACTGCTTACCTCCGTATGGACGGCTTTCCTGCTGTTACCAGTTTATGCATTTAACTCGCCATGTACGTCCGTGGAATTGAGATGCAGAGAGGAGCTGAAAACAATGACGGGGTTCGAATCAAAAACAATCAAAACAAAAACAAAAGCCAAAAATAAAATAAACAAATAAATAACAGGGTGAGAACATAGTCAAATCTGAAAAAGTAGTAAAAATCAGGCGAGGGCTTTTGTTTTTCTAGATTGCTTTTTAAAACTGTCGAATGGGTTTTAGGGAGTATGTGGGCAGGCCAATCGATGCTTTTGAAAACACTATTGGTTGGGTTTAGTGAAGGCGAGTCGACAGCAGCTTCTAGTGTAGGGCTATTCAATTGGCGGCCCGCTGGCCAAACCCGGCCCCCGAGGCAGTTTGTTCTGGTCCTCCAAATAGTGTGACCAAGACATCAAAAATAAATTTAGTTCAATCGAAAAACGGCTGCTATAGTTATGAAGTGACGTGCGTCTGTTCAATACAGCATGAGCTGCAGTTGAAGGTTGCGCAGAGCGTGAGTCACCATAAGCGAGTGGTGCGGACAGCCGAAAACATTTGGATAGGTTTTGTAGAACATGCCCTTTGTACAATGCACTATAATCATTAATAGGGATGCAACGATTAGCTGATTTCACTATTACCTGCACTTTAATTCGTCACAGTTAATTAATCGTAAAGGCTTCTCTAAGCCGCATTTCTGTTGCACAGAAAAGTTATGACAAGTTGCCAACTGTGCCCTAGTTTAAAGTTCCAAGTATATACACCAAGGCTACTACGCATGCACATCGGATTAACTATAGCAGCAGTCGTTCCCATATCACGTCTTTTCCACTTACAAGTTTGTTATTTCTAATGAAAGAATGACAATATGCGCGCACATGCAGAGCGACACGCTTGCCTCTGTCCAGGCGCACGCTGTAGAAAACATCTCATGGTGAGAGTTGTGCGTGCCTTTCAGTGCAATTTAAACAAAAGATATGTTAGAGTTATTATTAAAATGATTGTGTATGGATGAACCCAGATGATAACAACAGTTAATCTAAATAGCTACTTCCCTAATATAAAGCTTGTTGTTCTAAATTACATTATACGTGATAACCGTGAAAGCATGATTATTCTTCAGACTATATAATCGTACAACCAAAATCTATAATGTTGCATCACTAATTGTGATGCTGTTCAAAACAACATATGTATGTGTCTGAATGTAGAAAAAGCCTACTTCAGCAATGCACTGCTTTTGTTGTGTGAAATACAACATTTTGAAAGTAAAAAAAAAGTCAATTGGACATTGCAGTTGTTTTAAAATACAATATATTAACATTTTAATGTTGAAAAAGCCAACGTGGGTGTCTTATGAGCACAAATACAGCATATTGGCTCTTATAAGCTGTTGTGTCGTCACTCATATAGCAAGTCATATCTTTCCGGCCCTTCATTTGGGATACTTTTCATGAACCGGCCCCCATGACAAACTAATTGAATAGCCCTGCTCTAGTGGATTAACGTGAGAAGAGCAGGCACGAATGGCACTTACAAGAGAAATTTGAGATGTAAAAAGGGTACACAGAGGCCTCTGTAGGATTTGTGAAAACAAAAACGTACCTCCTGGTACGTATTTTGCACTCACCAGAAATGTATACAGTGGTATGTTTTCAGAATGAGCCTGGGATGTATTTACCACAAAAATAGCAGTTATTACAATTTTTTATATAGCAGCTAGTTAACATATCAGAATGTTTTTTGATGATATTATGAAAAAAAGGTGTGATAAAACTTTTTCTTTTCTTGGAGGGTGAATAAAGGGTCACACTTTACAATAGTTCATTAGTTAATGTTAATTAATGCATTTACTAACATGAACAAACAATGAACAATACATCTACTACTGTATTTGTTCATGTTAGTTAACGTTAGTTAATGAAAATAGAGTAGTTCATTGTTAGTTCATGTTAACTCATGGTGCATTAACTAATGTTACAAGCTTGGACTTGGATGTTATTAATGCATTAGTAAATGTTCAATTATGATTAATAAATGCTGTACATGTGTTGTTCATGATTAGTTCATGTTAGTAAATGCATTAACGAATGAACCTTATTGTAAAGTATTACCGAATAAAGAAACAAGCGTACAAAAATGTGATTGACTTCAATGTTTTGAATGTTAGTGTACAACTACAGTCTACTGGGACACATACTGGTCTTCATGCATAATCAGATCTGCACAGTTTAACCACAGCTGTACTGTGGAATGCAACAGAGAAGCCAAGATATTGTTACTGTCTAAACGAGAAAAGAATGAGCATTTCTGAGTGAACAAACCACCAGCCAACACCATAGTTATAATCATCCTAACCATCTCTGTCATCTCCTAGGACTTCTTCCTGTTTCTCTCACAGTAAAGGATATTGTGTCCATCTGTGTGTCAGGATGAGCCTGAGGGGAAAACCCTCCATCTACAAACACTGATGATAACAGACACACATTTCACTGCACAGCTGTTTATCTGGCTAGCTTGATAGTGCATTAAACACACAAACAAGTTGAACTTTATATTCTGAAAATAACTACATTTTTATATTTGTTTTTCCTAAAAGTGGAGTACAAATAATCCATGTGTGTGTGTTTGTGTTGCAGGAGTCTGTGTGTGGACGCTCTTATTGAGCTCTCAGATGAGAACGCAGACTGGAAACTGAGCTTTGACGAATTCCTCAACTGCCTGAAACCAGGCTTCAGCCCTCCTGAGAAAAGTAAGTCTCTGTCTGTTATGCTTCTGTCTATGGCAGAACTATAAATACTTTATTCAGCTAGCGAGAAATGTGGGTACATTCGGGGAATCTGAGCTGCACAAAAACACAGGATAGCTTTGGATTGAGCTACTGTACTTATGTGAGCGCATAATTCCATCATCTGCATAATCACAATGCAGACTTTGAACATTTATGAACCATGGTGCTTTTTTTTACCCTGAAGAAGCCGTTTAAATTCCTTCAGATGATATGTTTTCCCTCCAGAAGAGAGATTTTTCTTATATTAGTTCAGTTAAAGCCAGCAGTTTTCCTAGAACTGCAGTTGTGTAAGGGAGAGAGTGGGCACATATGGGGTTTTTCCGCTCTTCCACAGAATGTTCCTCAGGCTGATAGACTCTGCATGCAGAACTAGGTGAAAGTTCAGTAGGAGGAACCACTTTCTCTAGCATCAGATGAAGCACTTTAAAATGTTCAAACTAAGAACCAGTGGCACAGTAACTAAAACTTTTACAAATCATATTCATTAACTCCAAAAAAAAAAAAGCAAAATATTACATGTAAAGGAAAATTAGAAATTCAAACATAGTTTGAGATTGCGAATAAAAATAAAGGTTCTAAAGTAGGACAATTATTTTGGTTACCCCAAAGTGTTTACTTTTAGTCATTTAATGTAGACTTTTTTCACTATAAAGGGTCTTTTTTTTCAGGTGGAATGGTTCTATGCATATTAAATGATCTTAATAGAAGCAGAGATGACAATAAACTATCTTTATTCAGCTCTAGAACTGAGGCAGTCATTTTGACATTTAAAAAAAAAAAATTTGTTATTTAATAATTTTTCTAAAATAAAGCCTATATATTTATTGAATGCTGAATTGTCCTGGGCGAGGCAGTGGCGCAGTAGGTAGTGCTGTCGCCTCACTCGGCTCAGTTGGCGTTTCTGTGTGGAGTTTGCATGTTCTCCCTGCCTTCGCGTAGGTTTCCTCCGGGTGCTCCGGTTTCCCCCACAGTCCAAAGACATGCGGTGCAGGTGAATTGGGTAGGCTACACTGTCCGTAGTGTATGAGTGTGTGTGTGTGTGAATGTGTGTGTGGATGTTTCCCAGAAATGGTTACCCCAAGATGGGTTGCGGCTGGAAGGGCATCCGCTGTGTAAAAACTTGCTTGATAAGTTGGTGGTTCATTCTGCTGTGGCGACCCCGGATTAATAAAGGGCTAAGCCGACAAGAAAATGAATGAATGAATTGTCCTGAATGTGTGTATATTTCATTCCAACATTGTTTCTTAAGATTAAAATTACAAAATGCAAACATATGAGTATTTTTATCTTAAATGGAGGATAAAATTCCCTCATGCATTTCAGTGTCTGCTACCTTTTTCTCATGCATTTAAATATGCATGCCTTTGTTGTCTAGCATACGTTCTGCTAACAAAAACATAAGATGCGCACTTTCGGGAGTGGTCTTGCAACTTAGACCTCTTGTAAAGACTATATAATATATGATGAGAGCCATTCAAAACCTTATTCTAATATCTCAATGTAAGATTTGATTTTAAAAATGAATGTAAATGGGATAAATATTCAATTGGATAAAGTGTTACATTAAATATTGAAGCTAAATACAAAAAGTAAATAAAAAGCAACTCAACTAAACCATTACAAATTTAAATATACAGTCTAATGCAAAAGTTTGGGCACCCTTCTGTGGCTGCATAATTATGTGTTTTTCTTTGTGAGAGATGATCAGTGAAATGGCTCGTACACACCAGGACGCTTTTCGCTTGCGTTTATCGTCAGCATTTTATGAGACGTTTTTCTGTATTCAAACCAAAGCGATTTCACTGGCGTCAAGCAGAAGAGTATGCAAAATCGCTCCTTGATGTTAGATGGCACTACACAACTTTAAGCTTCTGACACCCCGCTTATAACACAGAAGAAGAGGAAAAGAGGAAGTTCACACACTTGTTGTTAAAGTAACTGGTGACTCGAACAAGCATGGATGGTTCGAGCAGCAGCTCTAGCGATGGAGAAATGATTATTGTTCAACAGAACAATAAGCAGCTCCACGTTCATATCACCTCTGGGCATCTTCTTCAATGTGCGCTCGCATCGACAGTTTTGTGCTTGTGCGTTTCTAAGTGCTGTTTACTGTAACTTCAGCAGCTCTGTGCACGTGAACAAAAGTGCCAATCTGATTGGAGGAGAAGGTTTTGACGCAGAGCGTCAAAAAAAAAAAAAAAACGAGCATGGGGTGGTTTTTTCAAAATGGCGCTTTTGCGCCTGCCGTTTTGGCGCGTTGGTGTGCACGATCGCATTGGCGCCCTTTATTTAGTCACAAGACGTTAAGCGTTGATAGAAAACACGAGCAAAAAGCATCCCGGTGCGCACGGGCCTTAACAGTGTTGAGATGTGTGAAATTAAATTGAAACTGAACAAAAGGCTATGTGAAAGTTTGGGAACCTTTTCTTTTGTCTGGATTTCAAAACCTGTAGTCACATAATACTGATTGATTACAACACAAAATTGATTCGAGTGACTCCGTGAACCTTAACAACCCTAACACATGTGCAACCAATCATGAAAAAGAATATTCATGACAGCAGATTTTTTGTTGTGCTACTCCTTATTGTGAACCAGAAAGTAGCAACATGGGAACCTTAAAAGAACTTCCTAATGACCCGAAAACTAGCATAATTCACCAACATGGAAAAGGATACAAAAAGCTTTCACATAGGTTTAACATCTCTTTCTCCACAGTCTGAAATATAGTAAGAAAATGGAAGGCTTGCTTTCTTGTGAAGTAAAAATGTGCTAGATCAAGAAAAATATCTAAAAGGCAAAGGCGAAGAATGATCGATGTACAATGTAATAATGTACATCGTTCCACAGTGCACTCTTCACATAGAACAGCTCAATGGAAGGTGATGCAAAAAAAAAAAAAAACATTCGAGAAGAGACATTCGAGATTTGCAAAGGCTCATCTGGACAAGCCTGAATCCTTTTGGAAAAATATACTGTGGGCCGATGCCACAACCATTTGAAAGGCACTTTGCAAGGCAGAAAAAGAAGAGCCTGCTCATACTGTAAAATATGGTGGAGGGTCCATCATGCATGCATGTGTAGCAAGCACAGGTACTGGAAACCTTGTAAGAGTGAAAGGTTTCATGGATTCCACCCAGTATCAGCAGATTCTAAAGAACAATGTTCAGGAGCCAGTTAAGAGGCTGAAGATATGACAGGGTTGGATGTTTCAGCTGGACAATGACAGTTCCAGATCTACCAAGGAATTCATGCTTAGACACGATACAATGTTCTAGAATGGCCATCCCAGTCCCCAGACTTAAACATCACTGAAAATCTATGGATTGATTTGAAAAGGGCCGTTCATGCTCGGCACCCATCAAACCTAAATGAACTGGAGAAATTTTGCAGGAAAGAATGATCCGAAATGCCTTCAGCAAGACTTCAGAAATTTATCCTTGACTATAAGAATGTTTACAGGCTATTATTTCAGCAAAAGGTGGTTTTACAAAAGATGTCATTATTCTATTGGGGTGCCCAAATTTTAGGACATGTCTGTTTGTGTTATGACTTTCTTTGCTTTGCATCTGTCGATTAAATAAATGTTATGTCAGAAATTAAATGCTGCTTTTTCTCTTATGTAAATATATCTGTCTAATAAAACATATCCGAATGAAATTGCTGATTGGAAGGGCCAGCAGGCTATGGTTTGCAATTATGAAAATTAGCAGGGGTGGCCAAACTTTTGCATAAGACTGTACATCACATTTATACAATATACTGACAGCACACTTCAATCTTATTCATATGTTCTATCTTTCCCTTTGTAGCAACACAGTCATTCCAAAGTAATTTCCTGTTTTGTATTTGGGAATCTGGGACACAGGCTTATTCAGTTGCAGACTCAGCTGCATAAAAAAGCATGCACACAAAATGGCCTGTTTGGACGGCTTTTGTTGGTTTTAGCTTAGTTTATAGAGAAAAGCAGATCTCGTTTCGGCAGTCCTCTGTTAACTCATGTAAGAAAACTATGGCATATTTTTGGAGAACTAATTTTATTTTCCTGAGCATGGGTTAACATATGTTTTGTATCATTTCAGAGTGTGCTCTAGAAGATGAGACATATGAGGATGGTGCAGAGACGCAGGTGGAGTGCAATCGCTGCGTCTGCGCTTGTGGAAACTGGGTCTGCACCGCCATGACTTGTGATGGTGAGCTTTAATTTGCAAATCTGTTATCATCTTATTTTGATAAATGACAGGAGAGTGGCATAAAATAAGCACTTTGCTCTGGAAGTGTTAGGAGACTAAGATAAAAAAAAAGGTATATCTAATTATATTTCAGCATGTCAAGATATATTCAAAGTTCTATTCAGGCGGCATGGCGCCACACTGGTTAACACTGTCGCCTTACAGCAAGAAGGTTGCTGTTTCAAGTCCCGGCTGGTTCAGTTGGCATTTCTGTATGGAGTTTGCTTGTTCTTCCTGTGTTGGAGTGGGTTTCATCCGGGTGCTCCAGTTTCCCCCACAGTTCAAATACATTCTCTCTAGGTGAATTAGGAAAAAACTAAATTGACCATAGTGTATGATTGTGGGAGTGTATGGGTGTTTTCCAATACTGGGTTGCAGCTGGAAGGGCATCAGCTGTGTAAAACATATACCATAATAGTTGGCGGTGAAACCCCTGATAAATAAAGGGACTAAGCTGAAGGAAAATTAACGAATGAATAAATGAATATGTTATATTCCAGAAAACATACAACACAAACAAAATACAGGGCCACGGAAATGTGCCTTGTCAAAATGTATTAAATGTGTGAACGTTTCCCCAGAAGAGAACTGCCGGTTGGATTTGCTAATGAACTGGTTGTATCCATAGAGAAAACCCCGGTTTTTGACACTGAAGGGGATCAGGAGATGACTGAAGAGGAGTGGACCCGCCGTGTGGCTGAACTCAACAAACATCAGGTCTGACGATTAAAATAATTCATTTTATATTCATCTCACTTATTTACTACAGTATAATTGGGTTACACTATTTTAAGGTGTCCTTATTACAGTGTAACTACTCATTTACCTGCTGAGTAATATGAATTATTTACATGTACTTGCTATATGGTTAGGGTTAGAATGTAGCTTAGGGTTTAGGGTTAGATATATGCAATTATGCGTAATTAATTACTACAGTAAGTAAATGCAAAACAAGGACACCTTAAAATAATGTCTAAATAAATAAATAATTATCGAAAATTTTATCATATGCGAAATAAATTAACACTTTTATTTGGCAAATATGAAAATAAAAAGTAGTAGGGGCTTAAAACAATGTGTAAGTATTATGATAAATAAGTACAGGGTGTATGCAGGAATTCTGAAGGTAATTTTGATACCTTTTAAAGACTTTTTAAAGACCTTTTCAGAATATTTTAAGACCACTTAAGTCTGTATAGTCAGTATCAAACCTTTAACTCGCAGTTGTTAATAAACAGTTGTAGTTACATAAATCAATGGAGCACAACCATGCAACAGAACTCAGATTAGCTCGGAAGAAACAAAGCTTAAAATAATAAATTACGGTGTTGTTTTCAGCGACGGGCTTCAGCCAGTGTTTAAACTCGTCTTTCTCCAGTCCAACCAGGAGTACGCGAACTTACTCTTTCCCATTTGCTGTCTGTTTCGCTCTATGGTTTCGCTACATGTGAAGAGCGTCACTTCACCTTCCCGTGTTTGTCGCAAATTATATCACCCCGACGGAGGTGCTTGGCCGGAAGCACCTAGGCCAGAACAACATGCATCCAGCACACTATTAGTATAATTATTAATTTTTTAGGGGTCAAACAATTTGGACAATACTTGAACAAAATTTAAGACCATGTAAAAACACGATTAATACTTTTTACCTTTGCAAGGTTCAGCCAGTTGGTCCGATGACTGTGTCTACGTGGACGAAAGTTCACTGCATGTTCAGTCTTGCCAGTGCACAATGTTGATTTATGTCTGACTCCAATTTTAGTATGAGGTGGTTTAGAAAAATAATATATTTATCCTCGCTTTACTTCATCTATAAAACCCTGATAAAGTTATTTTCGTCAGTCTTGGTCACTAAACAGTGGAGATTTACATCTTTTCTAAATAGGCAGAACCCAACTTACTCAGATTAGGATATTTTTTTTATGTGGTCCCCATACAGCTGCTATCTACTAAATCAAACAGAGCTATTTAGACATATAATGATCATTAGAATTAAGCAGACCAGTCACACTCAAACTATTAGTAACTTTGAGTAATCACTATACTATCCACATAGTATTGTAAGTTTAGAGATGAAGGTCTATCCCCTGTATAGATAAACTTTTACAGTCTCAGTATACATGAATTAATGCCAATGTGTTAGTCGAAGCTCTAAGAACATCGTATAGAGTGCCACGCTGCTCGTCTACCGTGTTTTAGTCTGTTACTAATCTGTACAGGTGCTTTTGGTGCTATGGACTTAACGTAATTTACTAGAGATAATAACACGAACTCTGTTTGAATAGTTCAAAACATAACAATTTATTAGCCAGGTAAATGTGTACACTGTAAAAAATGCAGGGCTCCACACAATTCATTCATGTTGTCCCAACACAAATCTATTAAGTTAACTTAACACTTTTAACTAATTTATGTGGATTGAACATAAAAAAAAATTAAGTTATCCCAATGAAATCTTAAAAATTGTGTTGTTTCAGCTCATTTTAAATAAGTAGTTTGAACGAGCAAAACTAAATATTTTTTGAGTGTATCATGCCAATTTATTCAGTCAATTCATAAACGATCAATACAAGACATCAAATTCTTAAAGATAAATCCAAGATTAATAGATGCATACCTGACTTCAAAATATGGGCTGATCTAGATAATAGAATCGCGCCGAACATTTAGAAACTAGTAAATCCAAGAATCCCCTCAAGGAAAGGGGTGTGTGACTAATAAAATGCATTTGCATATAGTGGAAGAGTTTCTGCCTATAGGAAAGGCACACCCTTGGCAGTGGTTCAACAGATACCTGAAGTTATATATTTATTGTTTTGATCATGTCTATTTCTGAGGAAATGAGACCATTGTACCAGTCACACTGAGACATTTCAAATGATATCAAACATGATAGATTAAGTCACGTAGGTTGATTTAGAACATTCAGACTTTGAAATGAACATTCGGTGTGAGTTGAGTGAAAAGGGGCTGAGTAATCAAGGTGGGTTTCAAGAAATGGTAATGTGCTACATAATGTGGTGCATTTGCGGCACTGAAACGTAAATCTTTTAAATTAGTTATTACATTTACACTACCTGACAAAAGTCTTGTTGCCTATCCAAGTTTTAGAAACAGCAAACAATAACTGGACTTCTTGTTGATCATTTGGTATCAGAAGTGGTTTATATGAAAGACAAAGGCCTCTAGATTACGCTTATTTTACCTACATAAAATATAGGTAAAATATAGGTTATTATTTAATTAGGACAGTAAGTTCTGATTTTGCTTAGACAAAAGTCTTGTCATTTTACAGAAGTAATGTACAGGATAGAATATAATAAAGGCATGGTGCAGTTTTAAAATAATTAATTTTGTGTATGACTCCCATGAGCTTTTAGGACTGCATCCACACATCTCTACAATGACTCAAATAACTTATTAATAAAGTCATCTGGAATGGCAAAGAAAGGACTCCCAGAGTTCCTCAAGACACTTTGGATTCACCTTTTATGCTTTCTCCTTCATCCTACACCAGACATGCTCAATAATGTTCATGTCTGGTGACTGGGCTGTCCAATCCTGGAGCACATTGACTTTTGTATGAGAATTTTATAAGAACTTTATTATCTTGGGTCCATGTGGGTTCCAATAGGTCTTCTGCAGTATTTGTGATTATTGGGATGCAGTTTAACAGATGATTCATCTGAAAAATCTACCTTCTGACACTTTTCCAAATGATCAACTAGGAGGTATTATTTGTTGCTTATACAACTTGGACAAGACTTTTGTCAGGTAGTGTATCTCATTTTATGTCTTACAAGGCAGCGCATTGCAAATCTGTTTTTACTTAATGTTTATCACTTCACATAATACGATGCAGGCTCCAAAACCCACCAAATCCCCCAGTAAAAGCATTTTATAGTTGCACTACACTACTTAAACTAAAGTCAAATTAATCAGAGAATAATGAGAATGCAGGGTTACGTGGTGTTTTCTTATGTGGACATTACTGACATTAGAATCCACATCTAACTGCTTCAAGTGAAGGCAAGTTTACCCAAGCCCGAGGGGGGAGATAGTTTGAAAGTTCACCCGACTAATATACTTTAAAGAGTTGTAAACTACAGTTAACCTTTCTGAAAGGCTGTTCCATGTCACATTAATAACTACTTTTTGATTTCCTAAGTGAAAAATGAGCTGTCAGTGTTAGTTTGTCAGCCTGGGGTAAAATCTGCTGACACACTGACCTTGTGAACCTTTCCAGGAAACTGTGGAGAAGATGAAGACCAGCACAAAGGAAGTCTAAACCAGGACCGAGACGAGAGGAGGGACAAAATGTGGAAGATTTCCTCTCCTACTGATCAGGATTCCTGAGATTATGTACTGTTTTTGGAAGAATCACAGCATTTTGTTTGAATAGGTTATTACTTTTAATGCTATCAGTACTGCATCTATTAATGTGTTATGTATTTTTTTGTTTTTCTTTATATTTTATTAGCTTTTCAATATGGGTTCAAGTGCTGTAAATTGTTTGATTGTGTCACTCAAAACGTTGCCGAAGAGGCCTCAGCACTTTGTTACAGAGGCCATCGTTTTACTATTTTTTGATTTTTTGTATTACTCTTTATACCATTTATTTGTTTGTCTATCTGCAGTTATATGTGGAAATATGTTTTTTTTTTTTTTTTTTTTTTGAGACAATGGCAATAGAAGATGAATAGGAAAATGAATAGGACAGGTTCGAGAGTGATTCTGAGAGAGCCGAACACCACGGGTTCATCCATCACAAAAGCTTCAGGCAGACTGGTAAATGCTAATGCTAATGCATCTACACACTAGCGAAAGCTAAAAATGTGACTTGAACGAAGCTCAGCCATGGTGGCTCTCTATTTCACTCTCGTCATGAAGGCAGTCATAGTCTTGAGACCTTTCGTAAAGGTGCTAATGTTAGTATTCATCTGTTTGCTGCTTTGCTCTCTTGCTCTAGATGGTGGAAAATGCTCACTAGAAGCTAAAAAGAGTGGATCCAACCCTGTTTTCTTCTGGTATTAACACATGCTTTCAGTATTCCAGTGGTCAGATTAGATGCATCACCACAGTATTAAAATCTGCATGAGCTGGAAGTTGCTGAGACTTTTACAGAGTACATACAGGAATCAGAGAGCGAAATTCAATACCTCTCAAGACCTTTTTAAGACCTTTTAACCACTTATCAACCTGAAACACTGGCAAAACTTTAACTTACAGTATATTTACCAAATATTAATGTAAAAAACTAATCCAAAACTAAGACATCATTCATATACTTAAAAAAATCCATTAAATCTAGCTAATTCAGCAGGTTGGCACAGAACTGCAGAAATAATGGTGTTGCTGCAATAAACAAAGCAGCATGATGTCAAATCTAGCAAGATTTTATTGATTTCATAAACTACACAGCATCCTGATTAAATGTAATACCTTGCAATATAGCATTTAAGACTTTTTAATACTTTTTAAGGGCCTTTAATTTCTTTACATTGATTTGTCATCTTTTAATACTTTTTTAGGACCCCGCAGACTTTTATTTCAGTATGTTGATGTACTTCCAACTGTATGAAACTGTATGAAACTTGCGCTTTATCCCCTCACAGCAAATTAATGGTTAGGGAGGCGTGGTTAGGAATATTACTTTGTTTCTATATAAGTCATCAAAGTGATGTCAACAGAAGGACCGCCATTCCAAATTTAGAAGGAAATTGTTAGATTTGACTAAAGATTACCAAAATTAACCTTTTTTCAGTGAATTAATTTGCACAGATGAATTTTTCACCTGAAGAATAACAACATGAGCTAGCAAAATAAACTATTGAGTAAATTTTGATTTCATGTGGCCTAAAATATTCATTCAAATACATGTCTTTTGGCCAATTGTGTTGTGTTGCCAATTCCATCACATCACTTTTAGTATGAGCAAGCAGGAAAGCAAATATATGAAAAAACTATGGATGGCAACAACATTTTCAAACATAATCTGTGTTTTAATACAACACAGCTATTTATGAGTTAACATCTTGTTATACTGCAATTCAGTTTTTTTGCAGAAGGTGGTCTTTTGAGGCTACTTGAAATGCATTGAACTAGCCACAAAATTAGTTTACACTACAAAAACAATCTCATTGAATGCATTTTCGCCAACCTCTAGATCTATGCAAAAGTGCATTCAAACTTGCATTTAGTTTCATAAACTTTTGATAAGTTTGACGAAAATGGATCTTAAAGGGTTAGTTCACCCAAAAAGGAAAATTCTGTTATTAATTACTGACCTTCTCGTCGTTCCAATCCTCTGAGACCTTCGTTCATCTTGGGAACACAAATTAAGATATTTTAGACATTCAAAGTCCAGAAAAGAAAACAAAAACATTGTCAAAAAATGTCATGTGACTTCAGTAGTTTAACTGTAATCATACGAAGCTCCAGGGTTCTGAGCTCAGGTAGACACCCTAATACGTTATTCGTCTTATCAGGATAGAGAGAGATAGGGTCCGAGCACAGTATCTAGCCCTGCTCCACAACCAACTCCCTCCCTATAGGGTGGAGGGATATCAAATTCAAGAGAAAACGAAGGTATGGCATGTTTGACTATTTATAAGGGTTTAGTCTTGAGCTGATTGGATAATAGAATGATTGTCTGTGATGAATTAGCCTCGTCAAAGACTGATAGTGCTCCTCCAAATTTGTTTATAAATCATCACTAAATGTGTGCCCTAATTTTACCTAGAAGAACAAAAATGCACTTTTTGTGCGCAAAAATGTTCTTGGAGCTTCATATTATTAGTTAAGTCACATGGATTGTTTTAACTATATCCTTTTAGTTCCTTTTCTGGACTTTAAACATCCTGGAATTCTTGCTGTCTATAGAGGATGAGAAAACTCTCAGACTTCTTCTAAAATATATTATTTGTGCTTCGAAGATGACCAAATGTCTTCGGGGTTTAGAACGACATGAGTGTTGAGTATTTTCAACAGAATCTCCATTTTTGGCTGAACAAACCCTTTCATACCAGGTGAAAACAGGATATCTGTGAAAAAAACAGGCAATACCTTTACATTTTAATATCACATGGCAACAAACCGACCGTGTTATTACTTGACGAACATGCTTTTTTAGCCCTGAGCAATTTCACCAAAAACCCTTTGATTAGAATAGATTAGACCTTCGTAGATTAGACAAATAGTGCGGCACAAATGCATTAGCTTAGCTTGAGCTTGTATGTATGTTAGTTGCTAGAGACTCTGTGCTAAAGCTCTCACACTGCGCTCAGTCCTACTCTGATGCTGGGTTTGAATCTATAAATATATACAAACAAACCAGAATTAGAAGAAATGAAACTATTCGAGATGGGACTGAGAACAGACGGAGTGATCTAAAACCAAAGCCTGATGTTTAGGATGTTGAAATTGTTGTACGAAAACCTCCAGGTATACCACTACTCTGGACCCAGCAACTACTTTATACCTGTTACGTAAAATATCTGTCAGATTAAGGATTAGAGTCGCTATTGCCTCTGTAGTGTAGTTGCATCCTTACAGAATTGAGAGATTTTGCGTACGTGTGCAAAATGCATGAGTGTGAGTGTGTTCGCTTGTTTAATTTCCACTAAATTCCACTAACAGTACGAATCCTTTGTGGTAATGAGTGCCTTATATACAAACAGTGTGCCATGGGTGAAGTGGCCTCTTCTGTAGGTATAAACCAACTAATATAGGACACAGTGCACATGAATTTTCCAGTATTATGGTAGACACCTAGCAAATGCCTTTTTTATTATGTCTATATGATTGTCTTATACAGTGGGGCAGAATTAAAACATTTTATGGTTAAAAAAAACATCTCTTGTTTTGTTTCATTCGTTATTACCTTACTATGATTGTATTTTTATATGTACGGTGTTCTAATTTTAATAATGTAACACGAATAAAAGGTACAACCATTTATCTTAAGCCTCACAAACATTTCTTATGATTTGTTGTGTGAACTAAATTTGGCTTTTAGATTACATCTATTCACAAGCGGCTGCAGGAAATGGTTATATAAAATGCTGTTAGAAAGTTTTAAAACATTTAAAATAATTATTTAAAAACCTTGTGTTCATCTAAAGCTAAGGTGGTTTCAGAAAGGCTAGCCAAAGCAAGCTACTGCAGCCTTGAAAGCATGAGATACCACTCTCTTTTCAGAGCTCTCTCCGCTAAAGCTATCTGTACACACCACAAGGAAATTAACAATTGACCAAACTCACATGCTCTCGCAACTCTAGTAGCTGATTACACTGCCACATTCTTTGTTAATCAAATATTCTATATCACGCCACAAACTTACCAGCAAACATGCTCTCTGTTCTCTCCACTCTTAAAGGGCACCTTTATTAAAAAAAAACTTTTTTTCAAGCTGTTTGGACAGATGTGTCCCTACTGAAAAAAACAGCTTAAACCAGCCTAGGCTGGTTGGCTGGTTTTACCTGCTCAACCAGGCTGGTTTTAGAGGGGTTTTGGCCACTTTCAGGCTGGTTTCCAGTCATTTCCAGCCTGGTCCTAGCTGTTCAGGCTGGGAGATGACCAGCTAAAACCAGCTTGACCAGCCAAAACCAGCTTGACCAGCCTAGCCAGACTGGAAGCCCAGCCAAAACCAGCTATGTCCATCTTAAACCAGGCTGGTCAAGCTGGTTTTAGCTGGTTTAGGCTGGTCAAAAACGGTGGACCAGTTGGAGTGGTTTTGAGACCGACTGCAACTTGACGTAGGAGTGCGGTCCCCCCGCCCACGGATATTGATTGACATGCGCGCATTACCATATCCTCCGTTTGTTGTTTCACATCCGCCATTTTCAGCATGTGAGTCAAAGCGATGTCACCAAAGGAACACCCTTAAGTTGGGCGGGACGTTATAACTAATTTTCATGTGAAGCAACACATCCCTAAAACAGCGACCTACATGTGTACACGCCCCCGAAATGACACTTTTTAACACATTATGATTAAATTGTGTTTTGAACTGAACCTAAACTGGCACATTCAGAAGAATCATAATAATAAATCTTAAAAAGGGGTAAACTAGGTACGCTTTAAAGCCAGACATTTTAGTCCTACTGCCTTCAGTCCTACTTGTCGGTTTAATTCTATATTATCTCACCTCCTTCAAGCCATTTCTCCTTCTGTTGTACTTGCCACAGCATTTAAGCAGGCAGAAATAGCCCCACTAGGGATGAAGTGTCCAAGTCGCAATATCTGGAGTCCCCCAGGGCTCAATTCGTGGACCACTTCTCTTCTTGCATGGCATCAGTAGGGTCTGTGATTCAAAAATATGGCTTTTCATATCACTGCTATGCTAGTGACACCTGTTATGATTATCTGAGGATAATGTCAGAGAACCTGTTTTATGCTAGATTAAAGACTGTCACCTTTAACTCAACCTTGCCAAGATAGAACTGTGATTCCTGTTCGCCAATTTTTACTGGTTCACTGAAAAAAATGAATTAGATTTACTATTTTTTTTAAAGGTAAGTGGTTGCAAACTATTTATATGGCCTGAATTTAAACAAACAAATTAAACTGAACATTACAAAATTTTATTTGTTTACATTCAGCACATATAAATTGTTTGCAACCACTTACCTTATAAATATATTGCAAATCCAATGGATCATTTCTTACAGTGTTGCTAAAAGCTGTTAATTTAAATTACAGCCTCTGATATTTGAATGCAAAATAATTTATATATGGGGTGATGCGGTGGCGCAGTAGGTAGTGCTTTCACCTCACAGAAAGAAGGTAGCTGGTTCAAGCCTTGGCTGGGTCAGTTGGCAATTCTGGATGGAGTTTGAATGTTTCCCCGTGTTCGCGTGGGTTTCCTACGTGTTCTTCGGTTTCCCCCACAGTCCAAAGACATGCGGTACAGGTGATTTGGTTAAGCTGAAGTTTTCCATAGTGTATATGTGTAAATGCGTGAAACGTGCTGGATAAGTTGTCGGTTCTTTCCGCTGTGGCGACCCCAAATTAATAAAGGGACTAAGCCAAAAAGAAAATGAATGAATAAATGAATAATTCCTATATGATTCACTTCTTCATCTAAACTCACTAATTCAGAGTTATGTAACCATCAGAAGCCATCCCATAAAAGGACAAAATCTTTACTATTGACTTGCCATTTTCAGGAAATGGCTAAAAGCACCTCCTTTTCTTCGAAACGTGGCCCTGGAAGCAATTTGTCCCCCGCTCTTCAGAGTTTTTACGTCAGTAATTAAAGACAAACGTTCAATAAACCTGGAGTAAATAATCACTGTGACTGCTGGTTGTTGTTTTGGGATCAGCTAAAGGTTTAAGACAGCAGTTTTCAGTTTTAGTTGGTTATATTTGTAGTAGTGAAGGTAAACGGAATTAAAAAGAGTGCAAGTAATTTCTAGTGTTAATATTATTGTGGGCAGCACAATGGCCTCAGTGGTTAGCACAGCACTATTGTCCCACAGCAAGTTTGTTGGTTCGAGTCCTGGCTAGGCTAGGAGGTATTTCTATGCGAAGATTGCATGTTCTGAGTGGTTCTATTTCCCCACAGTCTAAAGACATGCAGTATAGGTAAACTGGATTAAAAAAACAAGCTGAAGTAACACTTTTTATTACACGGTATTTATTAATATTATAATTTTTGCATGCATGCTTTTTTTCAGATTTTCATTCAATCATTTTCTTTTTGGCTTAGTCCCTTAATTAATTTGGGGTCGCCACAGCGGAGTGATCCGCCAACTTATCGAATTTTTTTTCTAATCATTTTATTTCAGCTCACTTACTTCAATATAACATTTGTTTAACATTATCAACTGGCATCTGCAGACAAGGACAACTAATATAGCTTTATAAATACGTATCTGTTAGGAATAAAATGCCAAGAGACATGAAAAGTGGCAGAAAACCTGATGATATGAAAAGGAGTGAAGAAAGAATCTCGTGACTGCTTGCATAATGAAATCTCAGTAGCAGCTGTGATTACATAACCATGAAACCGTATTTAATAATACAGAAATTTGCTTGGATAGTTTTCATTTCAGGCTGAATTATAAAAAAGACTAGACTATATACATGCAGCTCAGAAAGAGAACAATAGAAAGATTGTTCCTGCTTTCTGTAGCATAAAGTTGACCGCTTTTCTCTCGCTAGTTCCAGTAAAGGGTTAACACAGTCGGGCGGAGCCACAATACATTGAGCCTCGACACATGAATGTTAAACAGCCAGTCTACGCTGAATAGAGCGTCTTTGACAATAACTGTAAGCGTGAACGCAGCCATTAGGCTGGATATCTTAGGTTACATTACACAAGGTTACATTACACATGGATGATCGCAGTGCCTGGATGTAGATGTAAACTCGCTCGAAGTGTTCGGAAAGCAGCTTGAACGAGACGAAGAGCAACTCTTTTCATTTATCGACGAATAAAATGGAGGGTTTTGAAGGAGCCAGCAGCAGCGAGAGCGTTTTAGATCTGTCCCGTTTGAATCTGAGCAACTTAAGTTTGGACTCGGTTAGCGAGAAACGACGGAAAGACACGAAACAGCTGTATCTGTGTTACAACCGAATGACGTTTCTGGCCGAATCCATCAGCTTGTTCTCAAACCTGGAGTTTCTCGACATCAGTAACAACACGCTGTCTGTCATCTGCGAGGACATTACCCGACTGACCAAGCTCAAAACACTCATAGCCAAGAATAATCGTTTAAATGAGTTCTCTCTGCCCAAACATTTCGGCTCTATGCAGCTGGAAGTGTTGAATTTTAGTGGGAACAGGTTTGAGGAGATGCCGACCCAGTGTTTGCAGCTGCTGCGGCTCCAGTCTCTGTCTCTTGGAGGAAACAGACTGAAGAGCATCCCAGCAGAGATCGAGAGTCTGACCAGGTAACATCTACACTAGCATACTAGCTAGGCATCTCACTAGGGTTTAAAGCAGCAGCTGTTGGAAGTTTGCCATACTTTTTTTCTGCACTTTTATAGCTTGTTGTAATTATAGCTTAATTATTAAATAGCCTAGTTGTTTTATTCCTGCCTAAAACTACGACACATTTCTGGGTCATAAAGGGACAGTTCACCAAAAAAAAAAAAAAAACATTTACTATATTTACTCACCCTCAAGTATATTTACTCACTCCCACACCTTTTTTTTTAATCTGTTTAACTCAAAAGAAGGTTTGAAGAAAGCTAACCAGACATTGAGTGGGAAAAACAAATACTAAAAATACTCAAAAGGAAACAAGTATAGGGTTAGCAAATTATGACAACATTTTAAATATGGGCTGCTTAACTATCCTTTTCTTAATATGTTGGATGAAATCAACTCCTATAATTTTAATGTTGAAATTTCATAATATTATTTTTCATTTGATTTCACATTAACTTGAGCGAATGTTGTGAAATGTGCTGTGGGCTACTTCCAAGCATGGTAAGTTTAGTTTGGTGATGACGTCAGACTTCAGGAACTGACATCATTTTACATGGAGAGAACAACAGTAAATATAATTGTAAAACTTTATGTTTTAATGTAAATAAATATCCTAGAAAAAGTAGGCCTTTTTGATGTTTGCCAGATCTTTGTAACTTACACAGCATATCTAATCTAGACCAACCTATTTTTATATACAGTTAAAGTTAGAATTATAACCCCCACTCCGCTTTGATTTTTTATTTTTTTTAATGTCCCAAATTATGTTTAACAGAAAAAAATATATTTGGTATCTGATTTTTTTTTCTTCTGGAGAAAGTCTTATTTGTTTTTTTTCGGTTAGAATAAAAACAGTTTTACATTTTTTTTAAAAGCCATTTTAAGGTAAAAATTATTAGCCCCTTTAAGCTATATATTTTTTCTATAGTCTACAAAACAAACCATCATTATACAATAACTTGCCCAATTACCCTAACATGCCTAACCTAATTAATGTAGTTAAGCCTTTAAATGTCCCTTTAAGCTGTATTGAAGTCTCTTGAAAAATATTTAGTAAAATGTTATTTACTGTCATCATGGCAAAGATAAAAAAAATAAATAAACGAGTTATTAGAAATAAGTTATTAAAACTATTATTGTTTAGAAATGTGTTGAAAAATTATTCTCTCTTTTAGACAGAAATTCTGGGAAAAATAAATAGGGGGGTTAATAATTCTGACTTCAACTGAATATAATGAGTAGTGTTGCTACTGTTTGGGTATTGGATTTCCATCTAATTAAATTGTTCTCAGAATGTTTTGTGAACATTCCTGATGTACTATTTAAATGCAAATATTTAGGGAACAGTAACAAATATTGCAGTAAAATACACAAAACAGTACATGAGGATTTCAAGGGTATGGTTCGCCCATGTGAAATGTGAAATGTACTCACCCTCAAATGGTTCCAAACCTTTTTTTTCCTGTTCAACAGTAATGAAGATATTTTGAAGTAAGCTGAAACTTGGCACTGACTTCCATAGTAAGAAAAACGTCACTGATTACAGGTTTCCAGCTTTCTTCAAACTATCATCTTTTGTGTTTAACATAAGAAAGAAACTTTGAAATAAGAGTGAGTAAATGATGACAGAGTTGACAGTTTTAGGTGAACTATCCCTTTAAGTCAGAGGTCTTAAACATGCTCCTGGAGCCTCACAGTCATGCAGAGTTTATCTTCAACCTAATAAAACACACCTGAAGAAGCTTATAAAGCTTTATTCCTTTTCAGGATAATTTGAAAATGCACCTTATAAAACTTTATAAGACTTTCCAGGAGAATGATTCAACAGCTCTGGCATAACTTAAACATTTCAGAAATGAAATGTTCCATGAACAATTGTATAAGTAATGTTGTTTTTCTGTAGTGGACGATCACCAGATTGCAGCACACCAGTTCTCAGTTATTCTGTAACCCTACAAATGCCAAATCAGCAAGTTCAGTCTGCAAAAACAAGCTCTGGCAGAAACTGACAGGGAAAACACTGATATAACAAAACCACTCAGAATGTCTGTTAGTGCAGTGTGGAGTGCCCTCATGAAAGCAGACCATTGATATTCTGATGCCCTTGAAGTACTTCTGCAAGTCACAGCAGCACATTACACAACAGCAGATATATTTACAAGAGTTTTGAGAAACCAGATGTGTAGTCTTAATATATTAACCAATATATCCCCCAACCAAAGTATGACTGGTAATTAGGGCTGCACGATACTGTAAAATGTGTAATATGTAATGTTGTTGAGTATTGCAAAAATATTTCTTACAAAATAACATTTCCCTAGAAAAATGCATTTTTTTTAAACAAAATAATTTATTTATTTATATATATTAAAATGAACAGGTAAATTTATATATTTCAAATCTTACTAATTCTAACACAGACTAAAAAAACTAATGAGTGAACAGAGCAGATATCTTGGCTCTGATTCAACAGTATCTGGATGCAGCCTTGATGATGCAAGCTGAGATTGCGTATGTCAGAGATGCACTGTCAGGCACAATGCACTCAATGGTGCTAGTGATGTCACTGTGAGGGGTAGGGTTAGGTGAGTGCATTAAAAAGCATTGGATGCAGTTCAGATTGCACTGCATCCAGACCCTTCTCCTTTGATTGGCTGTGGTTCATTTGTCTAGACTTCCGCCATTAGTATTTATTTTCAGCTTTGGGTTCACCTTTGGGCTGCTCCAGCCAATAGTAGTAGAGCAACTGCTGCAGGGGTGGGGATAATGATAGCAAGGCCCCATCTGATCAGCTATTTAGATAAACAACCAATGCATTTAATACATGTAATGTATCACATATCTATGCAATACATTCAGTATTGCAGATACTATTATAGCAGGAATGATCATTTTGGTGATTCATCTTGTAAAACAAAATGACCTGCAATAAGTCACTTATCATTTATAGGCCACGCCCTCAAATTAAAACAGATTATGACTCGTGCTTGATTAATTTATTGTGGGCTCTAATAATCATGTCTTTCCCATAATAATACATATGCTTTCTGAAGAAAAAGAGAATAAAACAGCATTGAGGCATCTAAACATGCACTTTTCATCATTAAATAATAACTTCATGAAGTTGTTGCTATTGTTGCAAAGTAAATCATCATTCTAGCTGATGCAACTTCAGAAGAGTAATTCAAAAGACAGCTTTTCCCTGATTTATTGCTCTTTCTCTGAACAAAGTGCACTGTGTGCAAAAAAGAGGTCATTCGAATGATTATCTTTCCCTCTGTTCCCTTCATTTGACATGTTCTTTAGTGTTCCTGAGCTTTTTATCAGTAGTTCAGTCATTTTGTTAGTGGAAATAATAATAATAACAACAACAACAACAAAAAATAATAATATATTTTATTTGAGAGGCCTTTCCAACCACTCAAGGTCACCAGACGTGAGATGCAATAAAACAAAAAACAATTAACAATAATATCCAACAATAGAGTGGAGGAACTATGACGTCACTTTGTAGGCTAATCGGCTGCTAGCATAAAACTGGTTCCCTCGTGAAAATCCCTATAGGATTTTCCCGTAGGGTTTTCGAAGATTGCGAATAATAAGCTCCGTGTTCAAACACTATCATTACACTTACACGTTTTGTTCAGCCGGATAATTGTCACACGAAAATACAACATTGAGCACTTTTGGATCTTAAATACAAACGCAAGAGTTAAAAAGCTAACATTAGGCTATAAACGGACTACAGAGCCCTCGGGGCGCTCGTCAGTGACGTCAGCCCCACCCTGCTACAGACGACTTATCAAGCTTATTTTAGAAATAATGTCCATGACAGAGTTAATCTCTCTGTTTATTATATTATAATCCACGCTATATATTATAAACTAATAAATACGCAAGCACGCATAGACCTTTGTGCCTTTTGGATCGTTTTTACGTGGGAAATACATCTGTTTTGCTTTGCGGTTGTTCTAAAAGTTTTAAAAAAGTGTGTAAATGTGCCTATATAGTATTATTATGAGACATATTTAAATAAGTGTATCGCTCGCACACACAGCCCGCTTACCTTAACAGACGACAGAAATGAGGCGTGAGGAGGAACAAGTCTATCAAATGCCTGCAAGTTCCATCATCATGGACACAGAGCAACATTCAATATTCCTTTTTTGTCATGACGTACAGCAAAAAACAGCCCATACAGTCACATCTGCTATACGTTTTATAGAGGAGTGTAAATACTGCAGTTAAATGTGATCAGATGAAGAAAAAAAGACGAGAAATCACTTGATCTCGTTAAAATGACATAACATGCATGTATTTTTACACAATTATTCACACGTTTGCATTACTGAGAGCAGGAAAGAGACAGGCTGCACTGGTGAGCAGTATCTTCATAATATTGTTTAATTAAAATAAATAATCAACAAATTAGTCTGTCTCAACAGCCTTTACATGTAAAGGAATTATCTACACACAATCTGAATTCTTAATTAGAATAATACAACAAACTATAAAATACTATTCATGAAAATACTTAAATCACAAACAAATCCAAACGCCCAACACAAGCGAGCTGCACTCCAGACCAGATCAGCTCGATGACATATAATGTCCCCGACGCCGCCTGTAGTCTCATTTAGCAACTTGATAGCAACCGTCTTTTTAAAGAAGCATAATCGATTTAAAAGTTGAAGAGTGTGCTGTAACTGATGCGTTTTATGTCGTAGAACAAAACGTTGAAAGTATATTAAGTTGGTGTTAGCACGGACCTTATTTAAGTGATTTTACTGAAACCCCATTCAAAAAACCCATTAACTTTGGGACGAGGGAACCGGAAGTGCTAAAATGCTAACTCGCTTCCGGGTTTTTGCATACAAATTGACGTCATAGTTCCTCCACTCTATTAAAAATAATTCAATAAATGTATTCAGTCAGGTGACAGGTCCAGACAGATATCTAT